CCTACTTTTAAAGCAACGCCATCTGATGAAAATATATTTCGGTTTTGTACATTTAACTTTTTTACCGATGACGGATGTGAGCATGCAAAAATGAAACAATTCACTATTGTTGCAGGTAACATCCGGTCTCAGTACACATTGTTTTGAAAGAGCCGTTGGATTTTTAACCCAAAATTACAATCAAGACTTGTTACAGTACTGAATTGGAGCTTCTTTCTTGAAACGGTAAGCTATTTGTGCTCAATGACTGTCTCTTCATGAGCTGTTCATTTTCCAGTAAATGCGATTTGTCATCGAAGACAAAGTTGGTAAATAAAAGGAACGGCTGAGTTGATCAGAGTTGTACCCCTAAAAGACAACACATTGCTCTCTTCGTTTATCTCTTAAGGGTTTTAATCTAAATAAGACGGAAATATTGTAACAATCACGTGATGTCATGATCGATAGGATCTCGCTTCATGTAAGTGAGAAATTATACCTCTTTTAGGGAGGGGAGGGAAAGGGGGAAATTAAACCTGAACCACTCTTACAAAGAGGAATTTTCCTAAGAATGTACAGCATCGGTCATCTATTTGAGTTTATATAATCTCTTTATTCGGGCAGGCGATTTAAACTTGAAAAGCAGTGCACCAAGCGATTAGCCGAATTATTAAAAGTTGAAAATTCTATTTCTCCTGATATTCTAAGGCCCTGTCATATTGACCAAGTGAATGGAACAAAGTTCCTAGGTTTCCATAGTTTGTTACTTCTCCATCCCTGTCGCCAGCGAGCGCTTTCTCCTAATACTCTCGGGCCTTGTTACATTGACCAAGTGATCGGAACAGAGTTCTCAGATTTCCGTAGCTTATTGCTTTTCAAGAATTTCAAAATAGCTTTGAGATTCTTGAAAAGCCTTTTTCCCGAATAGATCAAGTTTTTTCCACAGATTCTTTTCCTGAATTTCATCGAAACTTTCCAACAGTAGAGGAGAGGAGTTTTATAGCATCATCTAACAAAATTAGGATTTAGGAGTAAACTATGATGTTTCTTTATCATTTCTGCTGAGGGAGCTACTTACAAACAACCGAAGATCCTTTTGGTTACCCTCCTGAGTAGTCTGAGAAGGTGAAGCTGTTGTTACCAATTTTTGATAACTTGAAGGAAAAATGAGAACTGT